TTGCACTTCCGCTGACTGCATGCAAGCCTTAATGCTACCATTCCTGCTGAAAGTGTTAAAGTTGACAACATAAATCCCAGTTTTCTGTGACTGCCACAATGCAGAAAGTCAACTTGATTCCAAAAATTCTGTAATGAATTTGTATTTTAAAATTTTCATATTCGTTAATACCAGAAATTGTGTTTTTTCCCTTACATTCAACAGTTCACGAATAAATTTCCATTTTTGCTGCTTGCTGCTCGCAGTAAATCTGCTTCCCGATTGAGATTGAGATTGCAGATGAAAAAAGCCTTCACTCCAGTGACACGTTCTTCTTAAAACTTAAGCCCAAATGACTGCTTCTTTGGAATCAAATAGTCGTCATAGCGATTAACGAAAAATGCACAATTTAAATTTTTTTATTATCGATGAAGGAACTTTGATGCTACGTGCATCACACAGCGCTGAGTCCTTATTATTCTGGCACACGCGATAATGAGCTGCAAGTTGACTTCCACTGTAATGTATCATTGCGTTTGAGAAGGTCTTTCCTCCAGATCACAACTTCATTTCACAGTGTCATGTGTGACATATGTGTGCTAGCATTTCATGTCGAGCATATGCTTTAAATTATATGTACTCGTATACTTAATTTTATTTTTAACATTGAGAGATTAAATGTTTTTTGATCTTTTGACTTTTTCGTTTTAAATAGAATTTTTATTCCAATAAAAAAGTGTCGAAAATTACCGAAATAAATTTTTTATGCATTTGTTAATGAGCGGTTTCATTAGTCTTAACATATAAATGGAAAATAATTGTAGGAAACGTGTTTTAAATAAAAATAAAGCAATTTGTAGCTATGAGTATTTATTAGAAATTCATTCAAAATATAAATAATAAGAAATCGCTATTAATTACGCATTATTTAACCATAAAATTTCAATCACTGAACCAGATTAGCATGTTATAGGATACTTACACCTTAAATTAGTTTCTTCAAACATCACCAATTTTACCGAAATATGCTCCACATACCAACTGCCATCAACTTCAAACTCACTAAAAGAAGTCCAGTCAGTCTCATAACAAACCACAAAAATTTCCACAATAATTCAGTTTAATTCTCCAGCACTTAGCATCATTAGTTTTGTTCAAAAAATAAGTTAAAAATTTAAATTTATAAGATAAATTTGTAAAACTAATGAATTCGAATAAATAAGTAATTTCAAATCAAAAACGCAGCGGTTCCGCCTCCACACCGGTTTACAGTCCTAGAATAAACAAACTATAATCTTAATTTTTTTTATGGTGAGGAGGTGGAATGCTTTATGCACCATCAAACCAACCGTCGTCGGAATGGTGCCCGACTTTCCAACATTAATATGTAGTATGCGAACTAAAACACTCTCTATTCGACCTATTCCCCCTCGGAATCACTTTAGCCTTACTTCGAACAGGGTCTCTTTTATGTTGGCATTTCAAGCCATTCTCTTGTGATTTTCGATCTTCGTCTAGACTTCCACTTTTTAACTACCATTTTCTTGATATCTGCACTATTTATTAGCCTAGCTTCTGGTTCTCTTTTCTAGGTCTAATTTATTCGCTATGAGGACTTGAACCATATATGACTCTATCGTTTGCCAGCTCTCTGTGTTCGATCTCATATTTTCCATCATATTTTCGGGATTTAACAGACTAAAGTTGAAAGTTAATAATTTCTCAATGGAATCACAAACATCAATAAACATTTTACATATGTACATAATAATAGTTGATATATTATTTAAATGCTTATCTGTAGAGTTATTATAAAGAAAATAGAAAATTCTAGTTTCAAGAAGTTAACTGTCATAGGTGTATCCTAGACTATATTTTTGTACGGGGCCATGAACTCAAAACTAAAATTATTCTTTATACGAAAAAAAATTTTGAATACTTCAGTCATATCTTCAGGCACTAAGAAAAACATGGTCTACATAAGTAAGTCATTGAAACTGGAATTGAAACAAGACGTGGTCCTCGTTGACGAACAATATCATGGCTGAAGAATCTTCATTAATGATTTAATAAAAGTGGAAGTAACGTTTTTAAACTCTTACTGAAAAATAGCGCTGGAACTATGGCAGATCTTTTGTGTCTAGCAACCAAATTATACAGAACATAAAATACCTTTGATAAAGTTCAGAATGTTCTTTCTTAAGAATTTGCTAACGTGAAATTTCTGCCCCTTAACGGTCTTCTGTTAACAACCGGGTAGTTACGAGGAATGTAAACAATTTCTTTCTTTAAGATACCACGTAGAAGTCGATATTTAGTCACTTTAAACAGATTAATGTTGTTTAGTCCGAGCTCAAGTAATGATGAATCGTCAGATATTTAGCCTAATATTGTCTAATATGAGAAATGCTTTATACAATATGAGTTAAAAAATAACCTCTTATTACTTTACCAACTTCTGCATATCCTTGTAGGCAGAAAAGTGTCTCTCTGAATTGGGATGTCTGGAATGTTTGGTTATATGAGGTTATTTTAAATGGTGTTAGATTTTTCTTTTATTTAATCAAATATTTTCCCTATTTAACTTCTCTCCATAGACGTTAGGAATGGAATGGTGACTAACTGACTTCTTCTTTTTTTCGGCAAAATTATTTCTTATTCTGTATTTCTATTTCTAATTCAAATAAGTTGAGGTTACATCTTTTGTCAGTATTGTTTAATTCCATATACTGATGGATAGTCATCATTAATTGACTATTTTTATTGACTATCCATATTATTATCAGTATATAGTATTAGAAGAATATAAGAATTTCTGTATCCTCTGATGATCAAATATAATATTAATTATCGAGTAAGCGAATGTCTTGTCAAGGTAATCTTTTCGAACCATCTAAATGATGATAAGTAATTAATCAAAATATAAAAACTTAATTTCTAATTAATTTATTATTGCTGAGTAATTTAAAGGAAATCCACTACTCCGTTTCATTCGCTACTCCGAAATGAAGGCCGCGTTGCAATTCCATTTGGCTCATCACACTCGGTATCTTTATGCGGTCGTGACAAACAAACGTGTCCTTCTCGATTTAAGCAAAAGTCACGTAGTTTCCAGGTAATTTAAGTTTGTAAAAAGAGTTGCTGATTTTTTCCTTCGGTTAGTGGCTTTAATGTTTGTTTGTTTGCGATTGCCATGTTCGAATTGTAATGCCAAAAACACGTTCCTGTAGTTTTATTCCTTTCTCTTCGTGCTGCAATGAAATGTGAGCAACGTGACTGCAATAGTGCGTTGAGGTCCTGTTTTTTAGTTTTCCTCAACTCAATTCCGACTCGAAGGAAAATACTTGCCATGATGAATAACATCAAAATATTAAAAATAATGCTTTTTCTTTTATAATATTTATTTTTCAGTTGTTATTGATTAGTTTCAAATGAAGTGAACGTGATTGATAACAAACCGATATTTCCAGTTTGAGAAAGTAAGACGATACTGTCATTTTTAAAGAGAAACTTTTGTAAAAATTATAAAAAATTTATTAAAAAAATTTTAATTATTTTTGTACTTCTTCCTTTGATATATACATATATATATACATGTACATAAAACATTTTTTAACATCATTGAACTATATGCAAGTACACTTTGCCATGAGGTTTGAGCTGTGGTTTATATTAGCAGTAGTGTAAAATGATTAAAAATGTTTAAGGTACTTATTATGGTATACTCCAATTAAGAGTACTTAAATCTTAAAATAAATTTATTAAAATCACAATGGTAAAGTTACTACGTGATAAATACTTTACTATGTACAACTCTTCTTCTTCTTCTTCTGGGTACCTTGTCCGCTTCGAACGTTGGCTGACATCATTGCGATTATGAGTTTATCTGCAGCCTCTCGAAAAAGTGATCTTATACTTTTATTGAACCATTGCCGTAAATTCTTCAGCCATAATATCTGAAGAGCCACGTTTGCTTGCAACGATTAATTTCAGTAGTCCGTACTTTTCCGGATGCCTCAGAATATGATCAAAAAACTCCAACTTTCGTCGGTTTACTGTTTCTAATGTTTCTGTCTCTTTGTTGACGCGTCGAAGTACCACTTTATTTGTAATTCCTTCTGTTCAGCTTATTTTCAGCATACGTCGATAACACCACATTTCAAAAGCTTCGAGTTTATTCATCGATGCAACAGATAGCGTCCAGGCCTTTGTCCCATAGAGGAGTTTGGAAAATTATGTACAACTACATTTCGAAATCAAGTATTATTGCCACACACCAAAAACTTCCTCTATTGATGGATATGGTCAATTCTTTGATATTAAAAACAATAACAATGTTTGCCATCTAATAAGTTATAAACTAATTTAACCAGAGTCTTGAACAGACCATGTGAATACCTAATCTGGTTTCGGTGGAAATTTTAGAAAGGATTTAAGTGCTTTTGATTTATAGACCTTTATTTTATTTGTATTTTTTTAAGTATTTAATATTCAGAAACCGAACCTGAATTGTTATTTTTCACTAAGATTAAATAAAATAATTCAAAGAAGTACATTGCTCTATTAAGAAGTATAAAATATAAGACAATAGAGTACGACAATAGAGTAAAATACGTTTATTTTCAGCATAGGGTAGAAAAGTTAGTACGGTAGAGAGCTTTAAGCTGTATTGGTTCGCCACATATTACATAAATTCTTAAGATAACCAAGGTCGACACCCTATAGCTAGTTTGCTTTCTCTTGTGTAAAATAAATTCACAGTATACTTTCGGTAAACAGCCTAGGATTATGTTAGTTGGATTAGATTTTTTTTGCTAAATAAATTCACTGCCTGATGGAAGAAATAAATTATTATTTGCGTTTCAAAAATTTGTTTAAACATATATGAAGAGAGC